ACAAGTAAGCTTCAAAGATACAGCAGTATATTTTCAATTCTCATTTAAGTATTTATTACTTACACTATTTTGATGGAAAATAGGGGATCTACAATTAAAGAAATAAATAAGTACCACCCTTTTTACTTTATCTGTTGAATAAAATTTATGTAAGAAAAACCGGTCGTTAGCTATAATCATAATTAATGATAGATAAGTGATTCCGTAGGTAAATATCTGCATGTAAACTCTGGGTATATATTGATGACATTGGATATAATATGTATGTATAGGGAACGTGGGAGAGCATTGTTAGGATAATAAATTAAACACGTACTATTGTGATGACCACCTTGAATATAAGGGAGGTGGTAATATTGATAGGTAAATAGTCGGTAATTATTTAGATGTTTGTCTATACGTACCTACATATGTGTGGTGGCAACAAAGGAGATTTTTTCACACAGATATGTCACTACCCTTTCTCTTCTTGCGGGTATTTTAATAAGACACATATCATATGTGTGTGTGTGTATTAACTTATTAAAGATATTATTGCAATGCCTAGATGGTGCTTTCGGCGACTTTCATCCGATATAAAATTAATTTCTTCTATTTGTTTAATGAATGACTTTGGAATTTATAGCAATACTAGCAACTCTCGCGCGGTTTCACCCGCTGGTTCCATTTAATCTTAGCGTGATATTTTATAGCGTATAGCACTCAGGAACATTGTAGCTATCTATCAAAAATCTGTGAAAGAATTTTAGCAATCCGACCAGCGGTTCCAAAGGTTACCCCCTACATACAAACTTACAAATTTTACCTCTTTATAATATTAGTATAGATTACAACCTTATCAGAATTTATTAAACGAAATAAAATAATATTTAATTGGGAAGCAAATAAATAGGTATATCAAAGAAATTATATTATTGTTTTTTAAATTAGATTATTTATTTTCTAGAATATTGTGTTAAATGTTTTTCTTGACAAATCTCCTTGTAGTTTATTTGGGAATAAAATAAGATCCGTAGTCGTTATTGTAGTACTTACTTCTAGATGGGTAACTTATTGCTTTAGAGGCTATTTTACGTATTTATGTTATCTTCATACATACATTCTACTGAACGTTATTTCATCACCTAAGTTATTTACACTTTATTATAATAAAAAAAATATGTTTAAATTAGGTAGGTATTTTAACGAGTCTATAAATCTACATAGTTTGTAAAAAATACACGTACCTACGTACTTAGTAAATAATGCTTGCGATGATTTTATAAAATTTTATCTTTTATCATAACTTCAACACCTTCGGAATATCGAAATCAGCGACGCATTTTTCAATAAATCAGGCCAATATTTTAAATGAAAGGCGGCATTAATATACATTTTTGTTTTTTTTTTTAATGAGTCAAGGAATCGATTTTTATTAAATATACAAACTTAAACCGATGAAACTATTTATAATATTGAATATCTATTAAATCCCAAATCTTGAGTATCGGCAATAGAAGTGACTTCTAAAAATGATAATATGAAAATAAAAAAAATAAAATACATGCTATAATACTAAAATAATAATAATAATGAAATAATTTTCTTTCCAAATTTTGAAACGCAAAAAGTGTAACAAAACAATTAAGCTGTCTCAAAACGACACTTATTTCATTCACAAAGCGTGAAGAATGCACTAAAGCACAACTATTAGATACTATATTTAAACACTATTGTCTAGACTAAACGTGAAAGTATTACACATAACAATTTAAAAACATTCCTAATGTTATATAATGAAGTTTTTCACGATATTTGGCGGTTATTACACACGCCAAATGACCTGGCAAGGCTAGTAGGTACAACGATTTCCCGACCTATGCCAAGGTTTAGCGTTTAAACCGATCGTGCCTCGTGTATTTATTTCTTAAGGGAAATGAGTGATACGTATCGTCATGTATACATGATTACGTATACTGTTTTCTCCCCATATATTTCAAGGTAAACATTGTAACAAAAGGACTAACTTAAATTTTATTTAATTATTATTTATGCACATCAAACATAGTAAATAGGTAAACAAACTAATACAGAAACAGAGGGATAAAAGTACTGGATATTTCTAGTTAGAATCTATTACTGAAGTCGTTCTATAGGACAAATGAAAACACACAATACACTGTGTAAGAAAGTGAAGCCAAAAACAATTGTTGGATACTTTCCTTAAAAGTCCACTCAGTATCAACTTGCACGGTTCTCCCACATTATTTTTTTTTTGTCTGAACTTTAGAAGAGTCTAGCCTTTCAGTTTGTGTAGGCGTTTCTTCTACAAGACACAACTACGGCCTTATCGTTCATTTAATTTAATAGTTGTAGTATTTTTAATCTATTCAAAAAACTAATGATTTCATATCATTTATAAAAAAGTTTCTTGTCGCCATAGAATATGTTATGTTAATTCTAAGTTGATTATGTGGTTATTTATGACAATCTAATATGACGTATTGATATTTTTTTCTTTTGTTTATAAATGGGGTGGCATTTGGTGGCTATCATGCCTGGTAGTAAGCGATGTTGCGACCCACGATGGACCCATAAGCCTTCGACTGCCGACAGAAAACTGCAAACCCTCCGCTAACGGAGGTCACCGGTGACCCCCATGGCGTTTAACGTGATAAGCAACTTATTCACTCGGACCTTGAAGACACCCAGAGATACTTCGAGGATTTTAAAATATTTCCGATATTTTCATATCTGGCTACTCGACGTCAGTGATGATGTACCGCAGCCCTGGCCTGGAGTATGAATAGAAACGGGATGATTCTTAGTCAGTAAGAGTCTAACACTCTCTCCTCACCATAGATGAAAGAAGTCATTTGAAGATTGTATTACATGCAATGCAAAACTTGTGTTTTATTACGAAATCAACAATGAAAAAATGTTTCAAAAGATCATTTTTCTTAAGCTTTAATAATGTTTTATTTAGATATACATGAGTAACCAAGAAGCATCATTACCGTTTATGAAAACGTATTATCACTCTTAATTCTGTGGCGAAACGTTCAATTTGTGCGACACTCAATATCTAATAAAAAGAAACGCAACTTTCTATACCCATTTGCACCATTACACGATGGAAACACTTGAGAACAAGTGCATTAAACTCTCTAAAACCTGGCAATACGCTCTTAAATCCAAAGTCCAACTCACCAATTATAACTCAATATCGTTCATAAATAATTCAATAGCATAAGTGATTTTCAAGCAAAGAAAAATCATTTCAATGTATATTTTCCTCAAAAAACATATTTCAGACTCTCTAAACTAATTTTATAATTGCGAAAGTAATCCTGTCTGTCTGTCTGTCTTTTCTTTACGTCTAAACTACTGAACCAATTTGTGTGAAATTTGGTACAGCATAGTTTGGAACTCGAGAAAGGACATAGGAAATCTGCAAGAAGTCACTATTCCATGCGAACGGAGTCGTGGGCAAAAGCTAGTTTTTCATAAATAATTCAGCAACATTGCATAAGTGATTTTCAAGCAAAGAAAAAAACATTTGAATGTATATTTTCCTTAAAAAACATATTTGGTATACAAAAGTTGACTTTGACTTTTAATAACATAATTAGCACTATTTCAGACCCGAAGTACTAAATAACGAGACTACTCTAACTGAACAGTTCAATATTAACTCATATATGTGTACATAGGTGTGTAGATATTGTACATTATATTCGCCAAACTCACGTGATAAATAATCACAAGGTCTCGTGCTTCAGTGAAACTTACCTAAAGTTAGTTAAAAATCTAAAAATACGTACACTTGATTTTCTACATTATTTCTTGGATAGGTGACGGATTGTATTATGGTAAGCAATCGGCGCAACCCATGGACACCAGCAACTCCAAAGGAGGTACTCAGGGTTTTTAGAGATTAGAGAATTTGATATTTGAGGATGGATAATACCGATTACTCAGATCGACGGCCCGTATGGCTCTCCCACAATTGGGTAATTTCCTAGTTTAAAAATAAACTACTTAATTCGTCGTTTCAACACAATAAAACAATGAAAAATAACTATTTTTACTTCATAGAGAGAACTTTCTTTCTTCTAGAGTTTCATACGAATTACATCGTTTTTGACATTTGGATAAAATAATTGAATTGGACTAGTTAGTTAAAAACTACCGACATGTTTCACATTGTACTTTCACAGAAGTATACGCAACAGAAACTTATTCAACAGTATTCCATTTAATGTTCATTATTGAATAAAATAAATGCAACATAACAAAATTTGAGAAAATGGGCTGACGTGTATATGTATTATAATTGGGATAACCTATGTTATTTTATACCTAGGTAAAATATTATTTGGCCGTCATAGAAATTCACACATTTAATATTCTTAGCGCTACAAAGAATAATAAATGTGTGAATTTCTATATCGCTATAAAGAATGATAAATGCGTCCATGCATCATGCATTTTTTTTTAAATCTTCATCACGTTTCTTCAATTACCAACTTTTAGTATTAAAATGCATTCTGGCCTTAAACATTGTTTACTTATGAACCAAAGATTTAGTTATGTCCACACGTCAACAATTCAAATAAATGTTAGTACTTAGTTTGAACTGAGTTCAATTTCTCGAGGAAGGTTATTAACCGAATTCGTATAACATTACGCTATGACTAATAGGAACCAAACAGCGGGCAACAAAAAAAAACATAACAAAATATTCAATGAAATACTTAATTCTCCCTAATTATGATAGTAGAGGTTCTGTTTTGATAAAAATTAACCGAAAACCAATTTAATAAACATACATCATGTTCTTTTTCTTTTGAATAATCACTTTATTTGGAAAGTACTTATTAATAATCCCTAACTAACTAACAACATAATAAGTAGCTCTTTTGATTACCAAGAGGATCGTTTGACAGAAAAAAATAATTAAATGTCTTCAAGCTCAAATCCAAATACATTCCTGTGTATGTCCATTCCTTGTTATGCAGAGTGGAGCCATGGCCGCAATGTCAGGAGCCCCGCTACTCCTTGCCAACGCAACCCTCACCAGCAAGCTACAAGACGATGACCACAGATATGCGGAGCCTATGAAGAAGAACAGAGACTATGAGTAAGTAATCAAACCAAAGCAATAAAGTAAGAGAAATAAAAAAAAACATATACTTAGCTTGAGATTTTCATTACAAATGTGAATGAAACAGTCCCAGTAAGTGGATCCTCCCCTGAATTAGTTAACATTATTGAGACGTAGACAATTTCGGTGCACATTAAGATAAAATTAAAACAGTATCCGATTAGAACCATAAGTACATAAACAACATAAAAAATAGCGATAAAAGAGAAAAGAGATGGAATACTAAATAAAATCATATTCATCAGTAATTAATTATAATTATAGTCATCGGAAGAATTAACCACAAAACATAATAATATGTAGGTACTCGTAAGATTGATGAAACGAGGATTTTAGGTTATTTATTGGACAATGTAATGAAATCAGACTTTATGTATTGAAAATATCGACTTACATACGTGAATTAATTGAGAAAAGCTCAACTAATTTCAAGTCAAAACGGGACTCTTAATCATGAGCAGCGTGCGCGTCGTGGCGACGTGGTCTCGCAACCGACTGGTTTTTTTAGTTAATTCACGTGAGAAAGTCGTCGGTAACAATAAGTGTAAAATTTCTGTAATATTTTGAATAAAACTTCGACTGTTACCTCATTTAAGGACATGAATACACGTTACCTACGTGATTTTTATAGATTTTCCTCGTTTTCAGAGGTTACGACACATGTTTATTATTTACATAAGCATTTAGATAATTTATCAGCATGCTTATTGTTGACAATCAGTCGACCGAAGTTCTAATCGATTCAGATCACCATTATGGCTAGCTAGTTAGAATGCTTTCCTTTACTTTACTTTGCAATAATTTAGACAACTTATAGTAAAAAAAAATGATTTTTTTATCATTTGCCAATGAAATCTAATCTAGGCTACACAATCCTACTAAAATCATAATCAGGATGACTAGAAAGAAAGACTTTCAAATTCTCACAGCCTACTCCTTCGAAAAAGTCGTGGGTACACTACCCTTATAATTTAATATACCTACAGTAAAAAAGTATTTATAAACAGAATTTAGGTCCACATTAGGGCCCCGCTAATTTGTTTTTCACGGTTTCAATATTATCTCTGTGAGATAATATTGATAATATTGACGCAATAAAATTATCACTTCATATTTATTTTATCACTAAAGGGTAGTTCGCTCTTTGAATTATTTTGTTGCGAGGACGTGCTCGGGGGTGGGCCCGAAAATTTGACTATTATGGGTGTTGAAGTTATAAACTATTAGTAAATTATAAATGTGTTCTTGTCTTGGTGGCTTGGGAGCTTGAAGTCTGAGACTTTTTCCGAGTTATATGTATTTTCTATGTTTATTTAGACACCACTGACATACGGTGAAGGAAAACCTCGTCGGAAACCTACAGGATTGTAATTTCTAATTACAAGATTGAAATTGTCAATCTGCCTTGAGCAACCGTGGTGATTAATGCTTAAACCTTCTCCGTTTGAAAGAAGCCTTTGGTCAGCAGTTCATGATGTGAAATATTTTATACGAATAACTAAAGTGTGTATGGATATTGTATTTAAACCAATTCGGTGGCTGAAGCATGAACACGGCACTCAACTACCGAACTGACTAAAATTCAATTAAATACTGCATGAAAGCGTCCCGATAGAAATATTTTTATTTAAATATTCTTAAAGTATTTTCTACGTATTTTTTTCAATCAAACGAATTATTACAAATAAAAAAGAATAATTTGTTATTATATATTATGATTAACCTTTATTGCTTATAGTTAAAAATGAGTGTATTATACACTAGCAAATTGTTTTAAGTTAAACCCAATACAATCTGCCTTTCTCTGGGTTTCTCGGTACAGCACTCACACATCAAATCAGCGTGTTTTGTGACACAGGGACCTCTTCCATCTGCTTCTTTTCTTCTATGTTGATACTCTTGCTATACCAGATAGTCCCCTCCAATCATCATGATATCATCTGTCTATCTTCTACCTTACCGACCTCTTTTTGTTAATAATATTTTACATACATATTGCTTAAAATAATCTAGTGCGAAATAATTAAATAAAATGAGCCTTTTAAGCTTATGTACTTGAGCAGTCATTGTGTACTCATAATTCCATGACTAATTTATTTTATATATTTATATATTTTTTTTTTTTGTATAAAATCCATGCAATATTTTTAGTAGATTCAGAAGTAAGGTACGAAGCAATTTATTTCGATTTTACCTTATTTAAGTTTAATTTATTCGGACTTGGTCCGCGCTACAGTAGAAACCTTTGTCACAAATAGAATTGAAATGAATTCAGTACTAGGTGTTTCACTGAATTGAAATATTCCTTGGTACAAATTATGTTTGCTAGGCGAATAACAGTCTTATATGCATCTGATTAATTTTAGTTTAAGTTCAAAAATAGACTCAATTAACAAGCTGTAAGATCGAAAGTCGCAAAGTGCAAGTGCGATTCCTAAATTCTCAGTAAAACGGTTCTCCCTTTCATATTTGGAATTCATGACATAACTGATAACAATGCACTTGCCTACTCAGAGACATTTATTAATTATAATTACTTAAATTAGGATTACTTACTTTAAAAAAGAATTCAATTGCTAAGGACTAAGTTGAATAACCATTCTGAGTACCGTGCTAGGTAAGTGTTAATAAGCTTCAGGGATAAGCAAATAATAGCCATTAGACAACAGACACAGACTATAACCAAGCGAAATGTGTACTTTGTTTCATTTATCTAGAAATTTCTAGAAAACCCTTTGCCTTTGAGGTGAGTTGCATGTAGATACATGTAAACACGTACAACGAAAAAAATTTTAAATGTTTTATTCCATACTTTTTAAATATTCCATCTGACAAACGTAAATCGGATAGAGTGAAGAATTTCAGCCTGTTGGTAAGGTTTTTCTAAAAAAAATATTTAATAAAGTTACCTTAAAAAGCGCTGGTGTGCGTATTTGATCAATTATAGTAGAGTGGCTAATCAAAATATCCTGCAAATTGATATTCGAAAGACGATTGCCTAAAAAGTAACCCTGAAATGCGAATGCAAATACATAATACCAACAAAGTGAATACTTATTTGCACATACATCTTAGTTATAATGTTAAGGTGAAAGTATGTATGTACTCTTTCACATAAAAACTCCTGGATAAATATTGATCCAAAACACGGGCAAAGTCATTGTCAGAATTTTAATGTTAATTTATTTACAAAAGAATTACAAATCAGCTGGTTGGAAGCAACAGCGATGTGTTTCGTCGTGTGAGTGAGGTTACCGAAGACCCAATCCCTATCCCTCCTCCCATCCCTTCCCAATCCTTAAATATCCGAAACCCTTATCCCTAATAGGCCGGCAACGAACTTGTAACTCCTTTGGTGTTGCAGGTATCTGCTTCTGATTACCATCAGGTAATCCGTAAGCTCGTTTGCCGACCTGTACCATAAAGAACCGGATCGAAATCCGACGTCAAAGCAACTTTTATCATGTCTCTTATACTCCAGTGAACACAAAGACTAGCGTCAAAATTACTTTCACTTTACCAAAGGCCTTTTATTGTTAAACAAAAAATAACATATCTATGCAAGAACATCTCGATGTAGTCAATACTAATAAACTGCATGTCGCTAAAAATTGCATACTAGAGATAAAATTTTGTAATAAGCTTCAAACAAAAAACCTTCTAAATCTATCAACGGATTGGGCAAGTAGACGAGCCACTAACTACCTACATCTTGCCACCTCCAATGCAGGATTCGTTGAGCTGAAAATTTTCCATTGACCGATATTTACTGAGGCTAATGCCAAGATAATAGTTCCTAAAAGTATACCTAACTGTAATGTTCTTGCTAGTCATAAAATAAATAAATACTTTTTGAAGTGTTTTGTTTCATTTTGAGTAGAAACTACGGAAAGATTAATGTTTCTTTGTTGGGTAAATTGTTGAATCTTTTTACCGTTGTATTTACTTAATCTTTCACTTTGATACAAGAATAGTTTATACCACAGAGAGGATAAGTCTCAGAATGTAGGTCGAATTAAATGAAAACGAAAGCCTCTATCTCAAATAACACATATTTAAATCCAACTTCTTAAAAGTAAAGCAGACGTAAATATTTGCTTGACACTAAAATTTTGTAAGCAAAAGTCACCCTTAAAATAAATACGCTAAAGATGTCTTGACAAGACAATTATTCAAATCACTAGTCCTCTTTCTATCAAATGTCAAAAATTTATTACCTATTCTATGACTTCTTGACGAAAATATCCACAGACTATAAAATATCATTAAGAAAAGGTTCCTTTTAATTAGATTTAACAGTGAAGGTGTTTATATAAACTGACTCAAAAGAAAAAGAAATTAGGTACATTGCATCGCCTTTTTATTTTGATTTTTCCGTTACAAAACAGTCCCAACGTTACCTTTTTAGGTATATTTATCATGATAATATAATAAATGTAAGTGTGGGAGCGCCATGCTTCGGCACGAATGGATCGGCTCGACCGGAGTGATACCACGGCCTCACAGAAAACCGGCGTGAAGTCCACAGCGTTCGTTTCGCCTCGCAAAAAAAATATATTTAAATGTTGCAGTTACTCTCTACATCTATTCACCAATACAAAAAATAATATAATACAGCGTACTCCAATGAAGCAACCATTTCATAAAAGCAGAAAATCTTGAGTATTCTGTAATTAACGATAACGATAAAAACCTTTAGTAATAAAAGAGTGTTCACAATAAACGAAGAAGGCAACATGAACTGCAGTAACACTGGACTATTAGTTGATTGCATTTGCAAGTCACACCCGTTATTTTTCCAATTACAGTAAACAATCAATTAAAAGAAATACTCGTCGCTAATAAAATCTTCGGAATAAAAAAGCATATTATTATGGTAGTTGAACTTAAGGTTAAGTTTGAATTACCATGTTGGACTTTTTAAAAGTCTAATTATGAGTTACAAATTGCAAACCCGCTTTGAGTAAGCGTGGTGATAGTGATTAATACTCAAACCCTCTAAGAAGAGGTTCTCCCTCTAAGAAGAGGTTTCTCCCTTTAAGAAGAGGTTCTATCATATGCTCAGCACTGCGGTATGCTCTTATAAGCTGGTGATGATGGTGAGGTTGATTAAGGATTATTACCGTGGATGATCGACGACACAAGGTTTTACTACTGTTAGCAATAATTAAATCACCAAATTGACTATACGGACTCATACCATGCAACTTACGTTAAATGAAGAATAATTAATTTAAAATTAGATAATAAACTATCTATTCAAAAGTTCCGGGTTATAACTGCTATTTTGTTTGGTAAAGGTCAAGAACACATTGCAGTAATATAAAAACGCATTTAAAAGTCCGCACAATTAGTGGTCAAAATATTGACATAATGTATATTGCAAAAAGAAAAAATGAACACGTTTCGAAATTCAAATTAGTGATTGAATCTATCGAAGAGATTCTAGCATTCCTATATAAGTACTATAGAAAAGCAAACGTCTGTGTATGCCAATAGATAATGAGCATGTTATTGTTATGTGTGTAATTAAAACAGCTACTGTTATGTTAACGGCAACATTTTTAATTACAGATGGCAAGTGGTATGGAGAAACGTGTTCGCATTCGTATACCTGCACGCCGCAGCCTTGTACGGATTCTATTTGATGTTCACCGGGAAAGTTAGAATATGGACCATTTTATTTGGTAAGTTAATGTTTTGATAGGAATTTTATACTAATTCGAATACTTTATTTGATGAAGGGAATTCATGCAATGTTTTCCTTGGGTGGAGCGATAGGAAGAGTCAGACTCTTTCTAACTAAAAACCGCCCAACCAACGGTTTATTGCACTAACCCCCCAACCTTAGCTGACCAACCACTATACTGGCTAAGCTTTATAGATGCTCAACGCTCTCTCGTACGAGATGAGTCAAATAAAGCATGATCGCAAATGTAACTTTGAAAATTATTAAAATTGGCTAGTTCTATTTGTGACCTCTTTTAGCGACGACCATATTTAGATTTTTATTTGGGAGCGATTCAAACCACTCCCATAAATGTATATTTTGGGTAACCAAGTATTTAGGCCAGAAGTGGTAAGTGGATAAGATTTAGATGCAAAAACAAAAATTATAGAACACACGACTGTAAATGCATTCGGTTCTATGTTCTATCTCCAGGTCTGATGGTGTGATTACTTATGCCTTATTACCCTCCAAATTTTACATCTGGTTGGGGTAAGCGTAAGCCCAATAATGTACAGTGACCCCTGAGCAAGGCGAAAGAACGGATTGGTTTTTAGGCAGTAAGAGTCTAAAACTTCCCCTCTTCCCACACAGTGCGGGTAGTAGTCAAAACAAAACCCTTCAATTACATGGGGCACACAATAAACAGGAGCGTTAATTATGAATCTGATATCGAATGCTTTGCATCAAATACAACTTTTGTGTCATTATACTTAATTTTTTCTTCTTTCCCGTTTACAGGTTTATTGTTCGCGATAATGGCAGGCATGGGCGTGACGGCTGGTGCACACAGGCTATGGGCGCATCGCTCATACAAGGCACGCTGGCCACTACGACTATTCCTAGCTCTTATGCAAACAATGGCCTTTCAGAATCACATATACGAATGGGTCCGAGATCACAGGTCAGTAACAATCTGTCTATTGAATTTCAACTTAATTGTCACTAGCAGTAAATTGAAAATCTATTGAAGAAATTTGTATTCGGTTGATGAGTTTGCATTTGTACTAATATCTATTACAATGGAGAAAGTTTTTCTGTTTGTCTGATGAGATTAACAATGTCCGTTGTCCAATCATGCAAAAATGTTTGAATGGATTTGGGTTGGATATGTTAAAGAACTGATAGTGACCTGAATGAACACCTTGTAGAGAGGCATTTTGTATTAAATAATCTTTATACATGTAAATAAGTGTAGATAGATTTTTATACAGACCCAGAGCACTTATAACGTACCTACATAATAATTTAAGGAATTAAATGAAATTTACTTTTGCTGAATTCTCTATTTAAATGCTTTCTTTCGGAACGGTTTCGTTAAAGTGATTAATTTTTGACAACATTTAGTTTTTATTTTATATTTTCTAGTGAGCTTTTTGTAGGTACTTACTAAATTTTTAGGATTAAAAAATCAACGTTAATAAAAAATATGAATAATATTTTCATCGATAAAATAAGTAGCCTTTACAGAAAAATTAACACAGACAGAAATTTTCAACAATAATCAAAGGTCAAATCAAACGTGAAGAATTTGAAATGTTACTGCATATTCGTTGACACTGTTCAATTAGCACCATTTGGTATTTTTAGAAAACACACATGGCCACTCCAATACCTAAGTTCAATATATCGTTGGCCATGAAATTTGAAATGAGGTTTACACTAAAAATCAGCGGGTTGTTGAGAATTATTCGAGACAAGTAAACATAAAAAACACACAGTTCGTAAAAACAACTTTGAGACGGTGGCTCGTAGAAGGATACAGCATTGCTGGACAGCATATAGGAAACTCGGTCGGGTAATCTCGTCAAAGATACCGCAAAGCCAGGAGACAAAAGTCTTCTATGAGTGCATTCTACCAGTGACGACATACGGAGCCGAGACGTGGACACTAACAGTGCGACAGATCTACAAATTTAAAGTCGCGCAGCGAGTTATGGAAAGGGTTATGCTTTGAGTCTCTCTGTAGGATTGTATTCGAAACGAGGTGATCCGACAGCGAACTGAAGTTGTAGACAGTGGTTGGATGAGTAGAGCTGAACATCGAACTCAGTGGCGTGCAACTGGGGAGCCCTATGTCCAACACAGGACGGAATCAGGTTGACGATGTTGAAACAAATTCACCACTAAATAATTCCATATTAAAAGATGGCAACTCAGTACCTAGCTACAAATGTTATTGTGATGTAATTGGTGCCGGATATTTCGTTAATTTATAGAGGCCATCCGCACTATGTGCATTTGGAAATATGCACCGTTGTGCATCATATCATGGCAATCTAAGTTTTGTTGCATTTTTCTATTCTCTGTAGCCAAAGTTTAGCTAGTAAACAGCTATACTGCGAGCCATTAATGACTTTCCGAACGAATACTTAGTAAATATTTTGTTTAGGTAAAAAAATTGGTTAGGTTCAATTTAAATAACTATTAAATGACTTGATTTCAATAAATTAAATGTATTTACGGCTGCCACTGTATACGATAAAAATATTTAAAACCAATTCAAATTTCTCTCGTAGAAGTCGATCTCAAAATCCTAACCCTCAATCCTATACCGAATCCAAAAGCTTGCTGGCCTTCACTTTTTTTTTCTATGGGTTAGGTTAAGTTAAAAATAATTTTACTATTCACAAGTACCGTATAAGTAACCTACCTAAGGAATAAAGAGGGAATAAAGGTTGTTATTGCTATGACTGAGATAAAAAAAGACAATTTTATTTTATCATTTCAAACAGAGTTCACCACAAATTCACGGAGACCGACGCAGACCCTCACAATGCAAGACGAGGCTTCTTCTTCTCCCACATTGGCTGGCTGATGGTGCGCAAACACAAGGACGTGTTTGAAAAGGGCGCCACCGTCGACATGTCAGACTTAGAGAAAGATCCGATCGTTATGTTCCAAAAGAAGTAAGTAGTTTTTCTATTACTCCTGTTGCTTTACTGATATTCTAATAGTAAAGAGTTTCAGTGGATATCCTTAAAGAGAAAACAAAATTAACTCGCACACATTATATTTTTGTCGAAATAAAATAATTAAAATGGCCCATTCCGCCAAGCGATTGCAAAATTTAAAAAAAACACTGAAAAAAGAGGATCATTTAATAAAAAACAATATTTATACTGTTTTATTTAATTAATAATTTACCTTTTCCAATTTGTCTAAAAATAATGTGAATAAAATTAAATGTTCCATTCTCGTTTAAATTTAAAATAAGAACGTCTTATGTAAACGAACTGACCAACCAAAATGCATTACAATTTTTAGCTCAGAAATATTACTATTGAGTGGAATGCGAAGTGGCGCTTTCAGAACTAACAGAGAGGGTAATTTAGTTTATAATTGAAATTCCTTCTTCATAGTAACAATAATAACGCTTTAGATGTATAACCTTGAAATTTCAAGATCTAGATCTCTAGTATGCCTATGTAGCTTCTAAATACAGTTACAAAAGTTTAAGTTAAGATTTATCGAACAAAAACTCATTCGCTAGGCAAGGAACATTTGTTTAGGGAGTGTAAACAAAGTATAAAACACTCTTTATTTGATAATGTAATTTGTTTGACTTCCATGCCATCACGATTACGTAGGATATAATACACAGGGATGGTTTTTGGTCAGTAAAAACTTCCCTCCCTTTCGTCACTTCGTCTTCCAAGCAAGAAGGCTCTTTTATAATGTTGTACCTTGTGATTCAAAAAAGGGTACAAAATCATTAATATTATTCAATATAGACTACTAAACCGATTTCTGTGTAATTTGGTATAGACATAGTTTGGAACTCTAAAAAAGTCTTAGGGTAGTTTTTATACCAAAAATCTGCAGGAAGTCACTACTCCACGCGAACGGAATCGCGGGCAAAAGCTAGTTTATAATAATAATATGTCGAACTGTCAATTCTTCCCAGTCTTCTACAGATTTCCTCGTTACGAGGCTTTCTTTATAAAATGAATACTACGACACACTTTTCCGTCCCTGGGAAGCCAATTGAGAGCTAACAATTATTGTAGATCTGTTTCATTATTCATTTAACAGAAGACTTCAGAAGCAGTGTCTTTATTGTTATAGGAAGTAGATTAATTTTCTTGTTTCATTTAATTAAAATATGGAGCTGTATTTTCCCTTCACTTCAAGTTAGGTAGACAGAAAATAAATATGTACATCATACACTTGTATTGTATAATTTTAGTATCTGAAGGTGTTTAAGGGTTACTTTTAATTGTACCTTAATAACGGCTTATTGAACTGATCTAACTGATAAAAGCTCTAAGTAATTTCGAGTCACAACAGGCCCCTTATTCATGTACACAGTTCAAGGCACCGCGCTGACGCGTCGACATCGCACAGCAAACCAGTAACAGTACCTTATTTTGGATTATAATGAACTAACTTTAGAAATAAATAAATAGACAAACAATGTCAAAGTTACGTCATGGTTAGCTTCTATTTGTTCTTATAATTAATAAAATTCTATATTATAAAGAGATACAATTTCTAAGTTTGTATGTAGGAGGTAATCTGTGGAACCGCTGATAGCATTTCCAAAATTCTTTCTACATATTCACGCATGGCTACAATATTCTTGGGTGTTATATAGCCTTTAAAATTCACCCTTATGATCAATAGGAGCCGAACAACGAATGAAAAGGCGCGGCAATAGCTAGTTTGCTAAAAAAATATTCGTCCACGTCCGTTTTAATTCAGTACTCTTGTTTGTAGGGGAGTACAATAAATCAAATAACGAAGAAAATAAAACTTTATCTTCAGGTTTTATCTAATAACTTGTATCTTAGTAGGTAGTAGGTATATCGTTTACAAGTTCTGAAGAGGTTTTGTTTCTTGCGGTCTTGTATATGTACGTCTATTAATAAAGAACGTTACTACATATGTATATGTAGATAACCCCCAATTCAGGTAATTATTATTTTGACATACACCCGGTTTCAATGTTAAAATCAATTTAATCTCTTGTCAAGTCATCTGATTGGTTGACTGAATTATCAACAACCAATCAGATGACTTGACGAGAGATTCAACAATAGAATTAGAATAGAGATTCAACATAAGAATATTAGTTAATTTTAGCGTTGACAAGCCTTTCAGAAACCGGGTGTTAATGATATAAAATATTCAGAAATAATCACACTTTCATTTGTTGATTTTATGAGATACACCATAATATTCGTATTTTTGTAGGTAATTTTCAAGAAAAGGTTTTGTTATTAAAGTGTGGACGCAAAAGAAATATGACGTCACAACACTGAATCCCGTAAAAAAATATTAAACAAAAACTGTTTATTTCTTTAATTCAAATGTATTTCATTTTACTAACTGTCAAGTATCAAATTTAGCGAACAAAACTATTATATCGAATTATATTTTTTAATTTCGTTATCACTTTCCGTCTCTGGTGCATTAAAATTTTGCACTTCATTATAATAAAAGAAATCTGAACTGTGTGCCTTTAGGAATATTGGGTAGGTACCTATATTTCTACTTTTTATTTTATTTAAGTTTATTCAATAAAGTTCTAGAACGTTAAGTTTTCAGATGTTGTGACTGACCTGAATAGATAACAACACGTATACAAAATTACCGACCATAGGAAAATGATACATATGATGTTTACCATTGTTTCTCGCAATCATAACTCGGAACTCGCCAAAAGTTAATTTTAAGTAACACTTACTAAAACATCACCATTTACATTCCAGAACATATATGGTGTTGATGCCACTCCTTTGCTTCGTGATCCCGGCCTGGATCCCATGCTACTTCTGGGGTGAGAACCCATGGTACTCCTGGTATGTGGCCTCCATAACGAGATACACCGTGGCCTTGCATTTCACCTGGCTCGTCAACTCAGCAGCCCACATCTGGGGCAACCGGCCCTACGATAAGTAAGCAACATTTCACTTTTTACCGTTTGTCATTACATTGTACGAGTATACAGTGAAAGTTAAAAAATCCAGCGATAATTTGACCCCGTTATGCTCCGGTTAAGATGCGGAAACAGATTATATTGGTCAGTTATTATTATTTGTTTTAATCACACCTAAACTCGGTGCAAAATAAAACCTTTTTTTAAAAGTCCGTTGCCCCACATTAGTGTGCGTTTACAAACATACAATTTCACTTACACAAAACCCCCAGACCTATATTATATTAGATCTTATATTTGTCGACCATACAAAGAGTTGCACCCGTGCGGGAATCGAACCCGCGACACGCTGCGCGGCAGCCAGTTGCCCAGCCATCGCGCCAACTGTGCAGTCAAAACTACATTTTACTCATGAAATTACCTATATATTTAATTTGACAATTTCAAAGTGCAACAACAGTGGGTAATACTCTATTCTACCCGAATTCTGGATTAAACTCTCATCTAACTACATACGCGATTTTAACTTAAACTGACGACTAGACATTTCATTAAATAACTGTATAATAGAATCACATTCAGCGTCTGTTTTATTCAAGTCGAACTTTATAGTTTAGTCGAAGCGACAGATTTCATTAAAACATTTAAATCCTTTGTTGTTGACAACACCTTGCTATTTTACTAGTGGTAATTTTATGGAGTAAAATACACATTTACATTCAAGGATTTTCCTTAATACGTATTGTTTTGAAAGTTCTAGAAATAAAGAAAATTCTAGTACCTACACAATGACTAGCACACATTTCAGTTAACGTGCAGGAATATATTACTATGTACACCTTCAACTGTGCATACTTCTACCATTTTTCAACCCTAAATCTGAACTTATAAGGTTTAATTTACCAAACGCAAACTGGGCTAGATATCGCGTGTTCATACATTATGTAACACACATTAACTAACTACCAACATCCTGATATTTCAGTCAATTTATTTCGCTCACTTACAGAAAGTTACAAATTTAATTAACTAAGCGAAAATAATGACTAATACTTAGTTAGGTAAGGTTGGGAAAACCTATCAAAATATATTAGTACTATTTAGGTAATTGTAACTAAGTAATCTTTCGACTTCAGTTGAACTTTAAGATTATTGTATTCACTTGCTTCTTGTAACATTAAATTGGCGGTGCATGTGTGTTTTTACCATTTTAATTTTAAAAGTTTTTTTCAGTAACATAGTTTGCCAACCAATGCCCAAACAAATGGCTAATTCACCTCTTTAAGTACACTTTATTATATGCCCATCAATTTAGGTACAAACTATTCAACAAAGTCTACTAAGCAAGTTTGTAATTTGAAGAAAAAGTTTCGTCATACATATTTTACGAGGTTCTTCAATTAGCATTTTATTATAACCCCTACAAGAAAAGTGATCATATTTAGTAACGCAACTCGTTGCTATTACAGAAACATAGGCGCTACTGACAACAAGGCGGTCGCAATCTGCGCGTTCGGTGAAGGGTGGCACAATTATCACCACGTCTTCCCCTGGGACTACAAAGCAGCTGAACTCGGAAATTACAGCACAAACCTATCAACTGCTCTCATTGACTTCGCCGCTAAACACGGTAAGGATCTAAAAACATTAATTTAAGTAAATTGCTTAAGACGGGTAGTTAATAAGACCGTTAAAATTATATTAAGCGTCGTTACTTTAACTGGGAATTTCTGTGAATCAAGACTGTTAGGAAATGTCTTTTTATTGAGTAAAACACTTATTCTCTACATGTTTATCAAACTCATAAATAAAGTGAATTATAAACTGTACCATGAATGAGTTTTCCGTTTTAAATTAAATAGATTTTCTGGTTCCTACACAAAATTTGTCCATCCACAGGTTTAGCATATGACTTGAAAACGGTGTCAGCCGAAATGATCAGACAGAGGGTGAACAGGACGGGAGATGGTTCTCATCCCTGGACCAAGGACAGCCAAGAAGAAGAACATTATCATCCTGAGAACCCAGTGTGGGGCTGGGAAGACACGGATATGACCGAGGAAGAGAAACAATTCGCTGAAATCGTCCACAGAAAAACTGAATAGGTTCCTGTTCTTACGGAATTTGTTTTAATTTTTCTTCTATACGAATTGAGAGTCCCTACAAAGGTGACTGACAGTTGTATTTGTGTATTTGTGAGCATTTTATGTGTAAAAAATATTTTTAATCAATCCTCCTTAGTTAGGTACAAAGCATTGTTTCCGTCATGCTCTAGTTTGATAAAATAAAATTCGCTCAATTATTTTTAGTTATAGTGTGTTGGTTGATTATTATTAATGATGGAAAGAATTAAAAATAAATTTTGATTTTGTAAATAACAAATTGTGGATGTAACATTCATGTATACTTACTTTAAAGGATCTGTTGTGATGATGCAACATTCAGGAGAATGATTCTGTTAAGGTATATAGGTACATTAACTGCATTCATCCGATCGTCGATGTCTTGTGTGGGCCAAGTTAGATAAACTTAATACACAGGAGAGCAGAAATAGTAGAATATTATTCATAAGTGACTGAACCAGCTTATGTATCTTATACTACGTTAGTATTTAGTATATATCGTACATTTGTATGTGATATTGTTCTGATGGTGACTGTTAAAGATATTTATTATTAATTTTAAATTTTACTAAGAGCCTTTGTAACGTCATTATTGAAGGAATCTTCCACAACTTTTGAAAATGATGCTTATTTTTAGATGTATAAGGCCCTTAGTGAAACTTGACACAAAGTTGATGTAAGTTTTTAATTTATTTAGCAGCGTAACTTCGTTTGGGTTCTGCTTGTAATAATGTTTTATATCGGCCACACTGAGAGATCATGCTTATGGCATAGTACCTAAGTGTGCGAGTGCAGGTACTAGTATAACATTTTTTGTAAATTAAATCTTTATATTTTAATAAATAGTGAATCGTTTGTTATTTGTTTTATTATTTAATTGTTCGGGATTTTTCCCTCATTACCTACAACGAGACCGACAATAGATTTTTTTTATGTGATAGGTCCCCTAACTCTCTGACGGACTACCTAATGGTAAGCATTAAGCGCCGCCCATGGACACCCGCAACAATGGAAGAGTTACGAGTGTGTAACCGACCTTTTGGAGATTTGGGGATTGGGAGAGAACGATTGGGCTTCCAGTAACCTCACTCACACTGCAAAACACAACGCTGTGGGCGTTGTTCCTGCGAGGCCGTGGTATCACTCTCCCAAACTTAAGATAATGTTAAAAACCTCTCTTCTACATACAAGACATGATTACAACCAATTATCGTGAATATAAATTAAATATTATAAACGTGAAAGTTTGTGAGAATGCATGGATGTCTGTTTGTTATTCTTCCACGCAAAAACAGCTGGACCGATTAGGTTGAAATTTGACATGTAGATAGGTGATGCCTTAAACTAACACATATTATTTATTTATTTATTATTTGGTATAACACACTAGCAGCTAATTAGCTGATGCGTGTGAATCAAATAGCTTAGGTTACTTTTTATCAACATAATAAGCGACAGAAGCCGCGAGCGGATTATAATAGTGAATAAGAAACAGTACCTTTGCGTTATTCACAAAGATTTTTTATTAATAATTACCTTACCTTTTAAATAGCCAACATCTTTTTTTCTATTTAAAAAAAAACATTGCCCCACACTAGGATTTTCTCCCGTGTCGTGGGTGCGGTTAAAAACATACAATGTCACATACACATGACACCCAGACCCGGAACAACAATTTGTGGATCACACAAAGAGTTATTCCGTGGGGGAACCGAACCCGCGACACGTTGCACGGCAGCCAGTTGCCCGCACCAACCGTGCAGTCAAACTTTACGTTACTCGTCATCAGACTTTACGTTAGTTACCCGAATCCAAACCACAATTGTATCTTAAACCCTTGTAGAGGCCTAAACTAACTACCTACTACGGACCTAACTAAACCGAATTTCCAGAACTGCCTGTTCGTAATATCTGTCATGTGATGCCACTTACACTGGTCAACACTGGTTTTGCCACACGAACTTTGATAGCTAATTATGTTTTATCAATCTACCCTCATTATTAAATCACAGTTGCCATATGTCAATTAGCCTCCTATTTGTTGTGATACGGTAATACTCATTAACTAGTACTACGGCAGTAACTTAACAGAAACGCTTACAAGTTAATCGTTATAAAAATATTTATCGTTGAATTTGAACACTTTTTTGGGATTTATTAACCCTGTGAGCATGTCAAGGAAGTGTATTAATGATCCTAACTGTTTTTGTTATGTCTGCGGAGAACTTTTCATTCAAAAAACAACGACGAAATTTTACAAATCTTGTGATGGAGTGTTATCACCAATGTTTTGGTTTTTCTGTCGCCCATCAAGACAAATCCTGGGCCCCTCATGTCTGTTGCATAACGTGTGTGAAAAATTTAACTGACTGGAAAAAAGGTGCACGACCTATGCCGTTTGCTGTACCCATGATATGGACTGAACAGCGAGATCACGTTTCAGATTGCTATTTTTGTCTCACTGACGTAAAAGGTATAAATTACAAGAAAAAAAACACAGTTATTTACCCTAATTTATCTTCGGCTATAAGACCAGTCTCTCATTGTAAAAAATTGCTAGAAATAATACCAGTTGCAACTACGTCTGTTGAGAATGACAATTCACAACCGTCTACTTCAAGTGTAAGTGATGCAAAGATAAAAGAGGGTATTTTTGTTGGCCCTCAAATTAGGGAGTTAATAAAAGATTCAACATTTGAAGAAAACTTAAGCGATTTAGAAAAATCAGCATGGAAGTCTTTTAAAAATGTTGTTGCAAATTTTTTGGGTAATCACAAGAGTGACAGCTACAGAGAGTTGGTTAGCGAGCTGTTATTGTCATATCAAGCATTAGGTTGCAACATGTCACTTAAGATCCATTTTTTAGACTCGCACCTGGATTTTTTTCCTGACAATTTAGGGGCTGTCAGTGACGAGCACGGCGAGAGGTTCCATCAGGATATTTCTGATATGGAAAAGCGGTACCAGGGCAAATGGAGCCCAAATATGTTAGCAGATTACTGCTGGACAATTAAAAGGGACCAACCAGAAGCTAATTATTCAAGAAAATCTTAGATTTTCTAAGTCATTTATAAAAAAATAAACTTTTGATTTACGAGATCCGTATTTTTTCTTAATATTTTAAATTACTCAATAGAATAAAATCTTTGTCTAGCAAATTTTTTTTAACTGTTTATTTTTTATTACAATCACCAATTAAAGTAAAAAATATCAAAAAAGTCCATGTGGCACGACAAAGTTGAAATTTTGTTGACCAGTGTTATTATCGGATTCATCACAATGTGCTAAAGATATCAAACAATGGTTTGTAACATAATTACGAGATCGTTTGATACTGGGAATGAAGGACTTCTACCAATAATCTTAAAAGCCAATTCCAAGCTCAAAGAATCCTAAGTTTTACAGATAAATTAAACATTTATCTGTAAAACGTATCATATGAAATGTTTTTGCTTGACAATTTTGACTGTCGGGCGAGGTGGCTGGGCAATCAAAAGACCACTAGGTACAGAATCAACTTGCACGGTTCTCTCACATTATGTTATTTTTACATTGTCTGGACTTGAAAAGAGACTGACCTCTGAGTTTGTTTCGGCATTTCTTCTCAGAGTAGTCAGATAGGAAATGCTGGCTTCATCTAGTTTTTTACATATAAATTGACGTGTAAAAGTGCCGTTTTATGGCCTATTTGCAAAAATAAATTCATTGTTTCATTGTTTCAATCGAGCCATTTTCAGTATTTTTCATTTTGGGATCCTGCAATATTTAAAATACATATTTCAAGTATTTCCAAAGACATTTTTCCCTGTTATATTATTATATTATACTAAATAAGTAACTTACATAGACAGTTCATAGTATAGATGATAATACCTACACTAAGTAAAACTGCCGCTTAATCTAATTTTTTTTTCAGAATAATTTATGTTCCAAACATTTTTTTATTACCTAGAATCACTCATCTCTCGCTTTTTATCTTATGATTCGGCAATCCTGGGGACAGATATCCCGATGGTAAGCAATCAACGCCGCCCATAGACACACGCAACAAGTACATACATTGCCTTATGGGCCTTAAGGATTCGAGGAACGAGGAATAGGAGAAGGAAAGAGAAAGGACTGACATCTCATTCACACGTCGAAATACATCGGAGGATCTAGGCCGAGGTATCATTCCGTCGAACGGACCGCCCGCCCACTCTTGGGCCCATTCATGCCAAAGCGTGGCACTTCTACACTTTAAGTCATAAATAAATCTTTAATGTTGAAGTAATAAAACTGCGGAAGTAAAGAAAGTAACAGTATGATTTGTCGTATTGACCGATAATAAGATTATCTGTATAATAGACACGTACAATCATAACCTACATTTTATTAGGAAACTAATTATTTGGTGACATGACTACCAGCATTCATGAGGAGATTTTTATTACAATTAAAAAGGTAGGTTATGAAGCCAATGTACATGTGGACTTAAATAACTGGTCCTTTGATTTTTAAGGAGGGGAAGGGGGGAGGGTAATCATATGACTTCTCTCGTCCAGGGTGAGGCGAGAAGGAGTGTTAGACTCTTACTGACTAAAAACCATCACGTTCCTTTGACTTACATACGAACGTTACGGAAAATACCTACCTAAGCTAACAATATGATTGACATTTTCTATAATTATGTAAAAATAATATTAAATTGTGCCTGACAATAAATGAAAATAACGTTATAAACAAATGTATATTATAATAATACAATAATTAAACAGACTAGAAGTAGTACTTATATTATTTAACAAAAAACAGAAAAATAATCATGTTACAAGGCAATGTAGGCATATTTTTTATAATTAGTAGAATTAAATCTTAGGCAATCTATTGAATAACTCAAATCAAGAGTTAGGTATTTATGAAGGTACTATGTATGTTTTATCATTAAGTTACATCAAGAATAGTTTAAAAATAACTCGCAAGTTGCAAATAAATTTGCGAGCTATTTATACCTTATTTATCTATTTATTTATTAAAATAAATAACTAATCAATGTCAATAAATTACTATAACTAATACAACAAATAAATTACCTTTATAACGGTATCTAAATCTTTAAAGTTTGCTTTAATGAACACGTATAAATATGTAGATTAAACAAACAATAAATACTACGGCAAACTATTCCAATTCCTATTTCAAGCTACAAATTACGTAACGATGAACAAGAAAATTATTACAACTGTTTTATGCATTAAAGCATTAAAATTCGTTGCAACCTGGCAAGTTAAAATAGCAAATGTCATCAATTAATGTTTTTTATTGGCATGGTGGTCTTGGCCCATCAAAGCGACCAATTTACCATCCCTATACGCTTTCAGCCAATCTGGATTTAGGGCAAACGGTGGCAACGATTCCATATTTTCAAATTCTACGCCTAATGCTGCATGCTGTGGAGGATGTTTAGTTTCATCGTACACCATTCCATAATGATCCGTGTGGATGTGCTCTTCATTGTTTGACGCTGCTATATGCTTCTCATTTTCATATCCACTATTCACATAAATTACTTTATGTTCGTACTTGTCGTTAAAGGCATTGTTCCTAAGCATTGTAAACAAGGCTCCCATCAGCGCCATATTGTTCATCATTCCGACCATCAAAGTCATCATCTTCAATCCCGGCAGTATAAACGGGATTATTGCTGATGTTACCAAACCAGGTATTAGAAGAAACGGCCCGTATTTATAAAACATTTTCTGTAATTTCTTCATGCTGCTCCGACCAGTTTCTGCCGTGTCACCTGAAAGTAGATTTAATATTCATTCGTAAGTGAAATTCTTTGATATTCTGTGTTCCAACATCATTAACTTTCACTTACTTGATATTAAAGTGGAGTGTGATAATTACAGAAAAGAATTATTTCAAATTATGGGGTAAACACGAACGAACTTAATTGTTAACCAATTTAATTCCGTGTACTGTTTAGAAAAAGTGACGCATGTTTTGTAGCGGTTATTGCTGTAGTTTATTTATCACAATAATGTTGTGTTCATAGACGCATGGCTGCACCAGGCCATATAAAAAATGCTTGTACTTACTTCTATAAATGTCGACACGCATCGTCCCGTTTTCTTTGGATCCAAGCTTGACATTGTATCCGGGTATCATATCGAAACCCAGGGATCGATATTGTAATAATTTTGTGGTATCATCATAAAGTTGTGTGTATATCTGTTCATCAGATACGTTACTGTACTTCTTCCATGGAAACTGCTCCACATCTTCAGTCAGGTTGAACTGTTTGGCGGGATTTTGGGCGAACGCCTTGATGGCGCGTTCTGCTCGCCACACACTTAGAGCACTGAGACATTTTGTGGGTCCTAACGCGTGACTACAGGAGAATAAACGTTGTATGGGTTGGTAGTGTTGTCCAAGGAGCGAGTGTAGCGTGGTTTGTAGAAATTGGCGCGACGTTCGCGAGTGTTGGTGTGCGTAGACACACTGGCACGCGGCCACTATCAGCAGTGCGGTGAGCGGTCGCATTGCTGCGGTTCAACTGACGCCAAAGCAGGTTCCCTCACTATCCACTACTCGCTCCAAATGCTAAGTGCATCGCCACTGGCGAAAGCGTTGTTTGGGCGTGTATGAAAAAATCGTCTACCGAGGATTATCTTTTCCTTGACTAGGTTATTTAGACAGGTGACACTTTTATTTTATTGGAAAATTAATGACGATTATATGCAAATAAATGACGTATTAAAATTAAATTTTTTTTCTTAGAAAATACCTAGTATTTATTATGTAATGGTCCTTATGTATCCACAATTCAGTGGGATCTAATATGATGAGAAGTTTATATAAATTACTAATCAATTAGCTCGACAGGTGTACTTCAATTTCGTAACATTGATATAGCTGTACTTAATGTCACTTTCGCGATTGACTGGTATTATAACTTTCACACCTTTCAATATCCACCCTCGCGACGTAGACAATTGTTTCTAATTTTAATTCCTATTCAAGTCACGATAATGCATTATTCATATTTTTATAGACATCAAATTCACATAGGTAAGTACATTTTTGTTCTAGCATGATGAGTAAGTACGGTCTGGTATTTTCCTAAGAAAGTAAAGGCTGAACGTAAGACTGCTATCATAGTATAATAATTTCTAATAATATATTATACAACTTTCTATGGAACATGAGCTTATTTATTATAACGCAATATAATGTTTTTTCTTGACTAGAACAGTTGGTATTATGGATAAGTTACCTACATAAGAATATGTACATATTTCGAAGCTGAAAATATTTTTTTAATATCAATATAATCGCATTTTTGTCTAGGTTTAGGAGAGCTAAAGACGGGACACACATTCATTAATAATCTAGTAACAACAGTGATCGCCAAATTGTTTGAGCGTATTTTTACAGACGTCATTAAATAAATAAATATTCTTACTGAAAGAAAGAAAGAAGAAAGAAAATTCATTTATTCGGTACAAAACCAGGCACAAACTTACTATGATGAGGTTACATTTTTGATTATATTAATTATATTAATTTTAACTATAAGATCGGTATAATTATAGTATATTAATAGATTAATATTATATAGACCGGCCATAGAGCAAGTTGATTACCTGATAGTAAATTATCGGCATAGCCCATGGATACTAACAACATCAGAGGAATATTTTCAGCCTTTTGAGGATTAGGATTTCTAGGATTCAGGGAGAGGTAGGAAGTTTGGTAACTCACTCACGTCACTCACACGGCAAAACACAACGCTGTTGTTGTTTCACGATGTACTCCGGTATTACTTCGGTCGAGCCAACCTATTTTTGCCAAAACTTGGCTCTCACACACATAAAAAATAATATTTCATATATTCAAATTGTTACTATTTCTGGATATCTTCATTCCAAATTATTTTCTCTACACTAATTTATACTTTATATACATTTTTTCAAGTTTACTACGAAGTTAAGCATTTAATTAATTATTCTAAAAACTGGGCCCCCAACCGTTCAATCTAACTTATAGTTAATGTTCTAAGTCATAAAAGTAACAGTTAACCGGTTGGCTTAAACTTCCGTTACACTTTGAACGATTCCGGGGCCTAATCGTTGTATTATCGCTTCCGATACTCTACAAATGAAAGTGGTCATCCTTATAGCATTTGAGGTGACGTTAGTTATATGTATGTTGACAAGTGTGTCAGGTTTTAATTAATATGTTAATGGCAACAATATGAATTTAAATTTAGTGTTGATGGATGAAAGAAATGCTTCGATAGACGTCTGGTTGCAAGGGCGGCTGCTCAGTCAGGTATCTTGGATTCATCCCCAGAACGGACAAAAGTGTAGACATTAGGGTGGTTCGGTTTTTCGGAAATATCTCATGAATCAATACAAGTTTTGATTTTTGATCAACAAATGACTAGCCTCACCTTGGGCAAGCGAGAGGGTCAGGCAGACTCTTTTTAATGACTAAAAAACACCCCTTTCTTTTTCCAGCCTCTGATATTATTAAAAGAACTCACAACATAACTGTCACTTTTGTGTATTTTTTGGGAGATAGAAGGCGTGATGATGGAAGAGAGACGAGAGAGAATATTTAGAATGACAAGATATTGGCTATTCTGATGACATTTGTATAATTAATTTAAAGAAGCAACAGGGTTGATATTCAGCTGGTATTGCGGGTACAATCTTTAAAATGTACCGCGGCCCCGACACGGAACAGGGGAAGGATAGGGTTTTTGGTTTTTGGTCAGTAATACTCTAACACTCCCTCTCGCCTCACAAAGGGCGGAAGTAGAGAATGAGAAGTTTCCTCCTTCAAAAAAATCCACAATGGTATAAAATACATATAAACATTTCAACTAGTAAAATACTGTAGTAAGTACCTATTCAGACAACTTCTACTATTTCCTTAATTCATGCAACTATCACATAAAACTCGCGTGTTTAAATTCATAAACATAAATATAAAAAAATATAAAACTTCGTAATGAGGATGTGCATATAAATCGTATTTAAAATTGACTTAGTATGCACGCTATATGCCTTTGTATGATTGCTAAATGAAAGCTGCCAGCCGCTGGCAATAAAATACTCTATTTTTTATGTAATACATTCTCAAATGCAATGGAAAGTTTGATATTATGGCTGCGTCTAGACATTAGCTTATAATAATCGACTAAAAATTGATTTGATAGAAAGAATTATGTTTCTATATTTAAAATGTTATGTGAATAAATATTATTAAAGTTATGTAAACTAAACCTGTCTTGTTATTTTCTCAGGTGTAAGCCAAGAGCTCTTACATCGAATATAATTTCCATACCTACGTTTAGTAAATTTCCATTAGACATTATTATAACTGTAAGACATAAGAAGTCGATTCAATTTCAATAGAAAACCTGTTTTAGGGTTGAGTGTTCTTATTTTTTTTTGTCAGACAACTTAACCCACAATTTTATTTTCTCTTGTGAACTGTGTCGTAGTTGCGTTCACTAATATAAAATTTCGCAAACGAAACACTCCCAGACACGGGAAAACAAATTGTGGATGACTAAACTCGTACTTTTTGCTGTGTTATAGGTGCGTTTAAAAACATACAATTTCACATACACAACCAGACCTGAAACAAGGGTTTGTGTATCACACAAAGTGTTGTTCCGTGTGCGGGAATTGAAACCGCGACTACTTTGCACAGCCAGTGCAACCAGCCAGCCATCTGCTAAGACCTAAATAAAGTCCTTGACACTATTTTATAAATACTTTAAGGTAACGATCGAAGAACTTAAAGCATGCATAGAGCTGACTCCGATTCAATTAAAAAAAACTCGATCCCGTGTCCCGTCAAACAATAACGTGACAGTCATAACAGTTTTTCTAATCAATAGACGTTATTCAATCGATGAGTTTTTTTGTAATTTACTAATGTATGGCACGTTAGTCGTTGTGCGTCTGTTGTGCAGTAACTAGTTATGCAGTTTTTTATAACGTTTAACGGTTATTCAACGTTTTTAGTCAACCGATAATGTCAAGAAGATGTGTCTCAGTATTGTCTTGGTTGTGGTTTCGATTTTATTTCCCATGCTCTTGTACCCTCAGTAGTTATGTAGATATGGTGTCATGATGGAGTTAACAATAGCTCATAAACGTTTCTTACAACTTGGCTTTGTCTATGACTTCGTCTGCGCAGTATTAACACTTCAGTTTGCTAATCTTCATTTTATTATCACTGCGTTGGTGGCGGGTGCATTATGTGCCGTGGTCTACCTTGGAGCAGAAGAAGGAATGAGGTGGGTTTTAGTCAGTAATAGTCTGACACTCCCTCGCGTCCCACCCAGAGCGGGAGAAGACCCTTGATCTCCCTTTAAAAATACATGTGTTGGAAAGTAATATTCTTAATGTCTTTTGAGTCTTATCTTATATTTAAATATCTCAAATTCGCGTAGGTGCAATTCTGATGGTAAATTTCTCTACTATTTAATGGATGTTATTATACATATATCATATACCTTCCTCTTTTATCGCTCTATCTATTAAATTTTATTATAAAAAAAACTGCAACAGAATCCATTGCGTAGGTTTGAAAGTTTAAGCATGCATAGGGATATCCCTATATTCCTGTTTAGAGAAAGAGAAAACGACTTTGTTATATATGAATATGGATACAAACTTCGAAATCTGTATCAGCTAATCGACTCCCGATTTAATAAACTAAGAGTTGTTTTTTTTTATGGTATAAGTCGGCAAACGAGCAGACGGATTACCTGATGGTAAGCAATCGGCGCCGCCCATGGACACCCGCAACACCAAAGGAGTTACGAGTGCGTTGCCGGCCTTTTGGGGATGGGGGTTGCGGATATAAGGATTGGGAAGGGATAGGGGAAGGGGAGGGATTGGGCCTCCGATAACCTCACTCACACGGCGAAACACAACGCTGTGAGTTGTTTCACGCCGGTATTATATGAGGCCGTGGAGCGTATAGAGAGAATAGTTGATTGTGAATAGAAGATGGTATTTTCTAGACTTGTGTAGAAAGACAGACAAACATTTCATTGTGTTAGTATGGATGGTGTTAGTAGTACAGATTCTCATGGCAGTTAAAATGGATAATAGTGCACGATAGCTATCATTTGTTTAGTTAACAATTGTAAGTTGAAGATAACTGGGTGCATTATGAGAAAAGATGAAAGTTATATGTGGACTGAGAGGCAGTCTAAGCATCTGTTTAAACGTCAAAATAATATATTGGTTTACAATAAACTTGTGAAATAGGACATTATTTTTATGAGATAGGTCGACAAACGAGCAAGCGGATTACAGGCCGATTTTGGTATCGCTCGGGTCGAGCTGACCCATTCGTGCCGAAACTTGGTTCACCCACATTTTTTAGAGATGAAAATAAAAAAAGAACTTTGCTTTTATTTATAATAAACGTAGCTATCCTTACAGTGACCAGTTCTTGCTGACTAAAAACCCCTACTTTCCCTTTCCTGCTGTGAACCAGGATTATGGCACATTATCGCGCTTTTAAATTTATAATCAAAATTTGTCTCGGTTTCGTAACGACGATTTGTGTCAGTGTTGTCTTATAAATTTAGAAAGTATAAATAACTGATTAAAAAGTATTTAATAGGGTCAAACCTACATCCTCATGTATGAGAATTTAGATAAATTATTTAAATAGGTTGAGCAATGAAAATAACGTAAAATAGGAAAACCAACGACCACAGAATGAACCTATATGTGAATCTGAATACATAATGAAAAGTACGTAACTATAAAATAGTAGAGAAAATAAAAAAGATAACATTTTGCATACCCCATTCCAAACAGCGAATGTAACCAGAAGAAAAGGTTTTTTTTTATTTAAAGTTATTTTCTCAAAATCGTTTTTCCATTTTCCTATAGTTTTATGGGATTACTAACTTTATGTTTGATAAACAAAGAAATGTGATAGAAATATTTATTTATTTTCTTTATATTCAATTGCATATCGGAAGACTTAATGCTTGAAGCATTTTCTGCCAGTCAACCTTTTGGCAGCGCGTAGATGTGTGGTAGGTGATATACGGTAATTTAGAAAGTTATTGGTAAATGAGGTGTAAGTCAATTCCAAGTTGCATACGTAAAAATAATATACACATATATAAATATATAATTACGTTTTATAACATTAAATATAAACACAAAACACATAATATTAATAATTACATACATCCATCTACCGCAATATAGAAACATAATGAAGACAATTTATAATGCAAGTGCACACCTATCTCCTTGCTTATGTGCTTACGCACCCTCCGCTTGAAACAGAACCGGCTGATTGCAGCTCTGATATCCGAGGGAAGCTTATTCCACAAATGGCTTGTATGAAGAAAGAAGAATGAGTAATAAAAAGATTAATAAATATTAAGTAAATGCTGCATTAAATGTATGTAAGAAAAACACAGCATTACTAACAATTCAATTCACAATAAACAACTTGAATACGTTATTTACAACTAAAAGACCACCGACGATCTCCGAGACAGGAATACATTAGCAAATCGCGTTACGAATAACAAATTAAAAAAAAACAATGATTTGTTTGAGCAAACAATGAGATGCGTGTGAAAGCACTAATTTTTATTCAAAAATCTAGGTGATACGAGTTTGGATTTTTTCGTGTGGTATTCCATGTTGACAGGAAATGGCCTATATTGCCGAACATAGTGTGTGATTAGCATACGGTCACGGACGCGGGCGAGCGGCTGCGCCGGCGCATGGTCGCGCGCCACAGCCCCACGAACGAGTTTCTCCACACGGCACGTGACAAAAATTCCTGATTAATGTCCACTAATTATTCCTCAAACACGCAAATCATTATTTCATTAATCACTCTTACATGACTCGCAATTAAATGAAAGCAAAAACTTGCAGGACGCGATATTATACTTTATGACACATTTTCTTTCCTAGTTCACTGAAAATTAATTAATGATCACGACAAATTTCATTTATATTTTTATTAATATTGATTTATAATATTCATATATAAAATAAGCAGTAACTTACAGTACCTAGTCTTAGTGCCTTTACTGGAGACAAGTCCAGAATACTGCTCCGCCCACCTGACGTAGAAATCCTGCACAAACAGATTAGAAGGAAGTACACATCACTTTCACCTTTCATTTGCTGTGATAACGATCGCAACAATGTCCAACGGGAGCATACACACCGTTAATGAATTAACATTAGTCCTTAAGCGGCGCAGGCGTCGATATCGGGGGCGACATTTCTACCGTGCGGTCACGTTGTCCTACGCTTTCTTTTGTCGTGATTCTTTGGTCTCGCCGGCCATTGTCTTCCATAGGACACTTTATATCCTGGGTAACGAACGACAGACAATCAGTCATACTCCAGCAGGCGTCTGGAGATCACCAGCTAATTGTAATTGCTCCGTCGAAATTAAAATTAAAAAGTGCCATTCAAAATGTGCAACAAACTCACCCTTCTTTCTTTGACATACGTCATCGTTTTCGTCTCAGTAGTGCAGTGTGATAGCACGGAGACCAAGGATTTCTTTAGTCAAGGTAATTACAATTTTCTGTACTTACTTAAGTTATCAAGCTTACCTAAGAGTTTGTTTGGACGCGCTAATCTCAGGAACGGCTGATTAGAATAGAAACAAATTTTTGTGTGGGGATAGTCGATTTATTGGAAGGCTACAGAATCAAGCTAAGATCTATAGGAGCCTAGTAGCGGATAATTTACTGTTAATTATGAGACAAGTTAATTAATTTTGATAAATCAAGTTAGTTAATCTCGTGTATGTTGTAGGTATTGTTTAGTTACCAAGCGTATGGAAAATTTCTTAACATAAATTAATAATTAAGATTATTACTTATCTTGTATGTGAATAATAAATATCTGCTCGATATTAAGACTGATCTTGGCAGATAATGTTTTAGCTATCAAATGAAAATTATTAAAATACTTAATATTCATTATAATGTTGCGTGTAGAAAAGAATACGTCTTGTGTTTACTTTTAAGAAGTACTTTTTATAGTAGTACTAGCTATTCGCGCGCGGTTTCACTCGCTGCTCGGCTCCATTTGATTGTAGGGTGATGTTTTATAGCCTATAGCAATCGGGAACATTGTAGCTATCAATAAATGAAAGAATTTTGGGAATCCGACTAGTGGTTGCAAAGATTACCCCCTAAATACAAACTTACAAATTTTACCTCCTTATAATATTACAGTATAGATCTATCGTTGAGACACAAATGAAATTTATTGAAATAACTAGACTTACTTATATGAATTAACTGAAAATGCTCTATTAGTTTCAAGTCACAGCGGGACTCTTATTCTTGAGCAGGGTGCGTTTGTCACCGACTGCTAAAGTAACTAGTAGAGCTTTTCTCAGTTAATTTACTTGTGTTATATGTAGCTTAATAGCGTGTAGCGTATTTTTCAATAAAATCTATACTAATTTATAAAGTTGTAGAATTTGTTTGTTTGTTTAAACGCGTTAAGTCCGGAGCTACTGGTTCGAATTGAATTGAACAATTCTTTTTATGTTCATAAATCCATTTTCGAGGAAAGCTATGTGCTATAAAATATCAAGCTACGTTATGTAGAAGTCGAGTAGCGGATGAAACCGCAGGACAGTACCTAGTTATGAATATATTTCTTACATTAAATTTTACTATTAGCATATTATAGCTATAATTTCTTGCTAAGTCAATATTTCTAGACAAAGTTAGTCTACCAGTCTACCACCGCCGCCGCGCCTTATTTTGAGAGTTTTAGACTATTTTGGTGCTTGCTAAATTCATTCCTAAACAATTGTTTACGTAACAACCAATTTATAAGACTGAACATAGATTCAAGTTTTGTCAAGAAGGAAAAAAAATTCTTTGTTTATTTTTAAATGAAAAGAGAAGTAGGTATGTCATGGTGGTCCATAGGTTAGGATTCCCGCTTCATATTATGAGGACGCGGATTCATAACTTGGAAAGTACCAATGTGACACACAACAACTCAACTCAACACACACGAGTGTTCATGTTCAATTATGTCAGTTTCAGTCAATTAGTTAATTAATGTATTGCCATAACATCTAACAGATAGCATGTTCCTAATTTTCCTAAACTCAGTTTACTAAAATTTTCTTATATTAAAACCTTCTTCTAAGTTCAGCGAATACAGTATATAAAGAATTATCAATATCAGTCTTGTCGTTCACGCGTAAGGATGACCATGAGAGGCCATGGTATTAGATTAGACCTATATCTTTAGGCAAACCACGTTTTACCCAGAGTCGGCTTCAAGATACTAATGACATTTTCAAATATGTACCCAGAATATTTCAGCTCTATCTAAGCCTTTAAGCGTTATATATATTATAGGTATATACAATATACTAAAACGGATTAAGACCACTAGATACGAAGCTAATTGCTTTGTGTTTAGTTATCTTGGCATAAGTTTATCTTTCTCTATTAAATATAAACACGTGTAGGCATTTTGTGTGATAGGAAAATCGCCTTTAATGCCTTTCATTTTCAATTCGCATAAGTAACCTTTTCGCATTCTATTTTTGTCCATTTCCTGAGCAAAAAAATTCTTCCTCATTCCAGATATAGTAACGGTGAGGATAAACGCAAATACAATTTTAAATTTTCTTTAAAGAATTCACCTTTTTAATCTGTCATCGTCTTCTGAGAACATTCTTTTGTATATGGCAGAAGCCTTCGTAGTATGATGAAGGGTAGATGTTGTGACCCTTCTTGAACAATACTGACATTCAGCATTCATGAAGTGACTAGCTTCCGCCCGCAGCTTTGTCCGCGTGGTAATTTAATAAAAGTACCCTAAATGTCCTATTCCGGAGTGTATCCTAATCCTGTGCCGTGATCCGTCCAGTCGTTTTTGCATGATTGAGCAACAAACATCCAACAACGTAACTTTCGCATTAATAATATTAGTCACATTGAGCCCAATTGCCTAAAGTTAGAAAAGAATATTTCATTTCATATCACATCATAATTATAATCAGCCTTTAAGTGCTCACCAGTGGGTAAAGACCTCTTCTCACACGGAGAAGGTTTGAACAATAAAATAAAGCGGCGAGGCGATGTTGAGACAGGTGCCTCAACAGCTTGCTTAAGGCGGATTGGCGATTTCAAACTTATAAGAAAAAAATTATAATTCCAGGTTTCCTCACGATGTTTTCCTTCACCGTATGTCAGTGGTGTCTAATTAATCATATAAAGTACATATAAGTCGGGCAAGTTTCATTGGTTCTTGTCGGGTTTCGGACTCGTGTCCTATTGCATGAGAAGCGGGATCCTTAACCTTTGACTATGAAAATAATTTCATAATCAGTATTTATTAACTATTATTTACCAATAATATTAAAATAATGTGTTATAATTACAATGTGTTTGAGCACATATTTTGCTGAGTAATTTACGTCAAAAAATTTTCATTTAGACCCAAGAATTTCAATTTGAGGCTCCCATTCAAATATCAAAGCCTCCAATTTAGTGCCTATAATTTAACAAGAAAATAGGTACCTATTTCAGCAATTCAGAATTTCTATTCAGTCTAAATGTCAGAAAAAATATTTTTAAATCTTACTTCATTTGTTTTGTTTTACTTTATTTTTGGTTACTTTGATATTCAATTTAGCTTGTGGCGGTAAAACAGATAAGAAATAACATCCTCTCCCCTTCTGTCCTTCTCGCAATTATTGTAAGACCCGTCTAAGGGATCTTAGAAGTAGAACAGTGACCCTTCAGTAATATGCTCTCTAACAAATTTCAAACTTTTGAAATGTAATTTGTACCTACCTATACTGTGTGTAGATTAAGAATACCTTATGTAGACTAAGAGCATGAAGGACAGGCCTCGCTAAAAGGCTACAGGATGATAGGTGGCAAAGTGAAAGGGTCCACACGGTAAACGTCTCAAAGGTAGACCATATTCGAAATGGACAGACGAAATAGTGCAAGTAGCGGGGCACTGAGAAAAATGGAATTATTTGGAGGAGGCCTTCACCTTGGCTTAAGGAGGGGTTCTTACTCATGAAAGTTTTTTAAACAATACGTATCCTTTTTTAATAAACATTAATGTAACTTTAAATGTAAGTTTTTTTCTTAAACTTTTAAACCCCTGTTGGAATGCAAGAAATAAAAGGCTTTTTTATTTTATTTATGTAGACTAAGCCCATAATCGTCCGGAGTTAGTCTACTAAGAGGACCCGATGTCCTCACAGGGGTTGATAGTGGCCACCGGAGAGGTTTTAGTGAGGTGAAAAATCAAAAATTTTTTTTAACGGATTACCTGATGGTAAGCAATCGGCGCCGCCCATGGACACCCGCAACGGAGGAGTTAAGAGTGCGTTGCCGACCTTTTAGGGATTAGGGATTTGAAGATTTAGGGATTGGGAGGGATTGGGGGAAGAGAAGGATTGGGTCTCCTGTAACTTCACTCACACGGCGAAACACAACGCTGTGGTGGTTTCACGCCGGTTTTTGTGAGGCCGTGGTATCACTCCGGTCGAGCCGACCCATTAGTGCCTAAGCTTGGCTAGCTTCACTAGATTTAAAAGCTTCCCCCTTAAAAAAATCAGCTTAGGGTCCAACCATGGGTTATAACGGTCTTACTAATGATAATGATGATTGATTTCTAAACATTTCTTTTCAGACTTAAGCGTCGGCCGTACGTTTGGTCACAATGCCCTCAAACGCCTGTCCTTCATCTTCCTTCCTGTTATGTTCACCCTGGGTGTGATCTCCACTCTTCTGATGGCTCTAGCTGTGATCTCAGTGAAGAACTTAGCCATCGGAGTCATGTTGCTCATCGTGGCTGTCAGCCAGGTAAGGAGATTAACTATTAACATAATTCGAGATTATAATCGATAATCGCGAAGTGACTAATTACCCAGAGATTCTTCATATGAAGAACCTGAAGGTTCAAGCATTATGTGGACTTAACAATTGAGTTGAAAACTAATCATGATATAAGTTATAGAGTGATGTTTATAGATTAACTGAACTGATTTACAACTTAGCAAGTTTTTATGTTAAATTATTCATTAAACATTTTTTTTCGATTTTTTTCCAAACCAATCAATTGTGGAATATAAAGGACGATGTACATAAAGACTTGGATATACCTATATACATATAGACCTCCAATGAATGAAGGTCATACTTAATTCTTTACTTTTGTGCTAAGCCTAAATCCTTTCTTTAAAAGGGATTTCAATTCCTTCTCAAAGGAAGAGTAAATAAATTGCTTTATTTTTTTCTCATTAAAATTAAGTGAAGCTTTCAAATGAAAATCCCTCATTGTTCGAGATACTGATAATCTCCTTGTCAATCAACGTAACAAAACAAAAACATTTTGGTAGAGGTCACGAGTAGTACTTGTTTTGTTTTTATTTCATAAATGAATAGGTAATCGATTGATCAAAAAATAATGTACCAGCACATATGCTGACTATATCGTTTTTGAAGTAGTTCTGTAAAAATTTTAGACTAATTTTAGGTCTAGAATTCTATATATTTTAAGCTATAAATAAAAGATTGTTTTTCCTTTTCCAGGCTGTATCCAGATTGTTCCTAACAGCTGCGTCACCATCTCCTCTCGTACACTTACATCCTCGAGCTGAACTTCTCCCAGCTCCAGCCGTCCCTGCTCCCTGGCCTGCACCTGGCCCTCTACTCTCACCATGGGCGAGATCTGACAACGACGCACCTATATCTGACTAAAAAGTAGTTTGAGTATCTGTGTGAAATGTCACAAGAAACCGTGCAATAAAAAGGATGGAGGTTGTAGTAAAGTTCAAAATAAAAGTCTCGATGTCGACAGCGCTACCATGTGTAAGAATTCATACAAATGCCATAGTTGACTGACCCCAACCAAAGATCGTTCAGTTACATAACCCTCCATTTCTTCTTATTCCATGGAAAACACACGTTAAGTAGGCACATAATGTATTTTGGTGACTCACAATCGAAACCCACCAATCGATTAATCGCTACGGCTACCTCATCGACTGAGCATTCAGCATATCTAACATGCATTTATTTATTTATTCGCTAAGAATTTATTGAATAAGTATCGTAATTACTTTTCGTCTCACAAAAGTAATTTTATCGAAATGTTATGCAATATCGTCTGGCTCTCGCGAAAACTGTGAGATTTTGTGAAAGTTAGACGATTGATATTAATTTTTAAGTATTTATTGTTCAATTAATAAATGAATCAAACAATAACTGGTTCTTTCATTAAGGATTACAATCTTTGCAGTTTCATGCGTGGATTGGAATATTTTTTTTTATGTAATTGGACGGCAAACGAGCGTACGGATTACCTGATGGTAAGCAATCAGCGCCGCCCATGGACACCCGCAACGGAGGAGTAACGAGTGCGTTCCGACCTTTTAGGGATTAGGTATTTGGAAATTTAGGGATTGAGGAGGGATTGGGGGCGGGGAAGGATTGGGCCTCCGGTAACCTCACACAACGCTGTGGTTGTTTCACGCCGGTCTTCTGTGAGGCCGTGGTATCACTCCGGTCGAGCCGGCCCATTCTTGCCGAAGCATGGCTCTCCCACACTTAATATGGCTGCATCTGTAGTATACATAATACAAATACTACGATAACGTTTTGCTTTCTCATTTTGAATTCAGAACAACATCACCAGTTTTTTGTTTCGTTTTTGCTAGACAACAGACAGTCTGTGGACTACGTGCACATATATTTTGCAATCATACTTGGAACGACTATTGATCTTACATAACATGTCTACCAGACAAATTTTGTTCACGGTCAGTCTGACTAATACATCAATCCGCTATGCAGGAAGTAAATGCACAAGTGAGTGGCACACAGATGAACTTTTGACTCTTCTCATAACCTGGAGAGTCGGCAGCCCGCCTCAATAAGAGAGAGTTCTCTATACTGGTTGGTTAAAAAACAAAGTGAAACAAAACCTCGTTATCATTATATTATCTCTGTATGACCGACTGTGCGTGCTCTTCGAAGCATAAAAGTGTAACGCTGACTGCCAGATCTCGATTATCTAGGTAATAATTATTTCTTTATAAGGGAACCTAAACATTTTTTCCCAGATTTATTTATTTGCAAGTGGAGTAATTAAAAAACTTAAATGTTTTCCGTACTGAACTACATCAAATTACAGCTTCAGACAACTCGTTAGTGAATTTAATATGCATGAAGCACTTTTATTGCTCACTAGCTTTTGCCCGCAACTTTGTTTGCGTGGAATAGTGACTTTCTGCCATTTTTTGGTATACAAACGATCATTTCTCGAGTTTCAAACCAAGTCTGTACCAAATTTCACAGAAATCGGTTCTGTAGTTTAGGAGTGAAGAAAAGAAGACAGAGTTACTTTCGAATTTATAATATTAGTTTGGATATGGAATTTAATTTAACTTAAAGAGAAAGGGTTATCACAAACATTGTTTTGTAGTATACAGAAAATGCTCCATCTTTGGATACAGCTTCCATAGAATGGACTGCTTATATAGATCGGCCATTCAGAGTACACGCTACTTCTGGTTTATATCTGTGGTAGTGTGGCGTTTGTGGTTATTTTTTACGCAACGTTATGAGGTTTTTGCACTTGAATGCACCGTTAAAAATGTTTGAACAGGTTTGAGTAACTTGTAAGACGCCAAATAGTTTACCTACGATTTCACTCAGTAATAAACAACATAATTTGTTTTTGTACATAAAATAAGTATATTTAGAAATTTTATTCGTTTTTTGCTCAATTTAATAAAACTCTCGAAGAATAAAAGGCGAATAAATCCTTTGATTTTTTCAGAAGTCGCAAGTTATAGGTGTGTCTGGGGAGATTAATTTCTGGGTCGGTTTTTTTTTATGTAATAGGTCGGCAAACGAGCAAACGGATTACCTGATGGTAAGCAATCCGCGTCGCACATGGACACCCGCAACGACAGAGGAGTTACGAGGGCGTTGTCGACCTTTTGGGGATTAGGTATTTGGAGATTTTGGGAAAGGGAACGGATTGGGGTAGGGGAAAGATTGAGCCTCCGGTAACATCACTCACATGGCGAAACACAACTCTTTGGTTATTTCACGCCGGTTTTTCGTGAGGCCGTGGTATCACTCCGGTCGAGTCGACCCATTTGTGCCGAATCAAGGCTCTCCCACACTTAACAATAACCCGAAATTATTTCGGGTTTTTGTTATAAATTTCTTCTTTCTATTTCCATAAATTTCTCATTATTAGCAGGAAGGCTAGAATTTTACCTTGGTATACTCGGATGACAATACGCATTATACTTTTTATACATAAAAAAAATGTAAGGCCAAATTGTTTTACTTTTAGTCCCTAGAACTCATTAGGTATATTGATCGTCAGCCTCAATAAAAAAGTCCTTTAATAAACCTATCCGTTCATGGTTTACTAGAAATATAATTTATTTTAGTACATTTTGCATGGATTTTGAAGCTTAATTACACCAAATATTATCACTAACAAAAATCTATCGACAGTTAGATAATTTAGATTGCCCATTAACCGCAAGAACAATGCACCTGACACAAACCAATTTACAATTCGCTTTAAGCGAAAATAACAGACACATAATGTGCGCAATTAAATAATAAATTAATTATGACAAATTTTTCCTTTTTCATTACATTCTTCTTCGTCAATCGTGATAGCTGAAATGCTTTGATTTATTGCCATAATTATACCTATCGTTATTCATATACAACTTAATCTATCAAAATTAACGTGCATTCGATTATTACGCACGATACCACTTTCGGTAATGTTTCCGTTTTCCTGAATGCCTTTCAGGAATTGTGAGTCTAGTACTAGCAGTAGGCACTTATGTGTAAGAATTCGATTCGTTAAGATAATACTTAAATCATATTATAATTTATGAATATTAAGTATCGTGAGACGACCAAAACGACTTACGTGAATACACGTGGAAAGCTCGACTAGTTTCAAGTCACAACGGAACTCTTAATCGTAAGCGAGTGCGTTGCGGTTACGTTGTGCAGCTGATGTTAGCTTGCACTACTCGTAGTAGAGCTTATATAGGCTTATTCACATCAATAAGCCATTTAAAAAATAATATTGGTGCTTAATCACGAATGAATGACTGAACTGATCAGGATATGCATTTTATAAAGATATGTTTTTTTATGGGATCGGGCAGCAAAGCTGACTTCTTTCATGGTATAGGTCGGTAAACGAGCAGATGGATTACCTGCTGGTAAGCAATCAGCGCCGCCAATCGTACATTTATGGATTGGGAGGAAAGGAGGTAAGGGAGAAGGATTGGGCCTCCGCTAACCTCACTCACACGGCAAAACACAACGTATGTATTGTTTAACGTTGGTTTTCTGTGGAGCCGTAGTGTGACACCGGTCGAGCCGACCCATTCGTGCCGAAGCAAGGTTCTCCTACCCTTGGTGCAGGCCAGCCAGGGTTGTAAGTGCAAGAGTGTAATGTACCGTGGCATTGGTTCAGAGCAGGAGAAGGAACGGTATAGTTTTAGTCAGTACGGGTCTGACACTGCCTATCGCACTCCCCAGTGCGGTTGTAGTCTTTAGGGAAACTAGCAAATGTCTCGCTTTTAACGATCCTTCAACACAATGCACATAAAACGGCCAGCTTATACTGGTCATAATGCCTGATTTTAAACTGAATACATGTATGAATTGTTAAACAAACGTAACTTATTTATTAGCAGCTGCAATTAATTTTCACAAATCTGTGACTAGATTCAACCCCCAATTACGTTTTATATTATATTATTTTGCTAATAGGTATTTAATCGAATTGGCGTTTAATTCAAATTTCAATATCAATTAATATTTGAGCAACGTATGTTAATTGAATGGTAAGCTGTAATATTAATATAATAATTGCAAAATTTCGGTACTCTTTCTCGTAAAAGCCTACCTAATTGGTCCAGATAGATTATTTGTCTGTAATAAATAACACATTTAATTTTTACCTTGAACTACGGGCGAAGTACTCTGCAAGAAACTTTGAACTACAAAATAAACGATCGTAGACTTCAAATTCAATTTAATTAATATGAAGGTTAGAATGCAATTTAGAACTGTAAAGAGAATATAAGCCTATTGATTTACTTCACGATGTGTTCCTCCATCGTATGTCAGAGGTGTCTAAACAATTTTCGAAAGTACATACATACGACGCAAAATGGTAATAATGTTCTAAATTAACACTGGTAAACAAAGTTAGCTTGTTGAACAGGTATCCGATAAGTCTGCAAGTATCTAGTTTCTCCAGGAATCTACTAAGGTATACAATATAGAAGCTAAGTAAGTGTGTCTTAATCGAAAGTTATACGTAAGCTCTTTGAGTAGCTTGTTGACTTTATAGTTAGGGGGAGCTAGCAGCTTGAAGCCTAACTTTAAGTCAGTGCGGACTTGCGGTTGAGAAATTTCGTATTTTAATTCTTGGAGCAGATTAGAATTGTTGCTATTTTGTTTTTTATGGTCTTGTAATTTCTTGTGTCTATCTTGTTAAGTGTCAATCCTAATCTCTTAGTACCTACTACAAAAACAAAAGTATTTCTAACTTTACCTAGTTTTGCACTTTGCAACTACTTGGACAAAAACGTTTTTAAATTTAACAGAGGCGAATAAAACTGAAACTTTTATTATTTTATGTACACTTAAGGCCCTAAGCCTCCAAGGCCTACAAATAAAAAATCTGTGTCTTTGGTGTCTTTTGTATCAAATACTGATTTTAGAAAATACTAACCATGCCCCGCTGTCTTACCTGCTCATTTTATAAGCTTTCAAGCAGTTTTCAAATCAGTCAAGTAATTTCAGAGCCTATGCTATCCAAACCAACAATAAAATATTTCCTCTTTATAATCTTCGCACAGAAAACTTCAAACTACAAAGTCACAATTTGGGAGAGTTAGAGTAGCTAATCTTGGTTTAAATTAATGTTACGTATTCATGTTCCGACCTGTATTATATCAGTTTAATCAGCCATCAGGGATCTAGATAATATTCA